CATCTATTAATAGCCACACATCAACGTCCGTCACTTTGGATGTGTGCCTCTTGATTTGGCTTGTTTTGTGCTTGGTAGTCTGGTGAAGGCGACGTTTCGGTCTCGGTTTATTTAAGGACTAGTTTTTGCTTTTAGCATTTTTGGGTGCAATGAATTTGAAACCATGTTCAGAGATACTCATGTTGCAAAAACTGGATTGTGTGATTAATGTCTTATCAGAAGATCTAAAGAAGCCTGACCTGATTTTAGCCTGACGTGAGACATACATTTTCCCGTTCATGACTCTTGATGTAAGATTTTGCTGAGATCGAAGGCATAAACCATTCGTTTTTGCTTGGTAAACTTCAGTCAGCTGGCTGAAGCATGCAGGCTTTATTTGACTGTTATTGCTCATAATGCCTTCCACAGTTATTCACATTAACGTTTTTGAGGTTATTTATAGAGCCAGTAACGACACCGGCACCACCAAAGATCGGCGTTTGCGCAAACCATTCGGAGTAATTGTTCAAGGAGCTTCGTTCAAGGGCGCCTCGTTTCGGTAGGAAACTTGTTCTAATCTTTAACGCAAAGCGAGCAATATAATGAAACGTCTTCCTTCTGAGTTTTCGGTCTCATTTCACGAACATTAATAATTTCCATGATTACAACAGCGTTTCAGTCACATGGTAAAAACATGACCACTCCGACTTCATTATTGCGTCGCAGTTGTATCGAAGACCAAAAGTAAGTGACAAACAACCACTCTGCACACCAACGTGGGCAAGAAATACCAGATGGGACTTATGTGAAACCCAGTTACTTATACTTTTAGGCCCGGTAGCTATTTAAGGGCCATGTTTTCGCTATAATGTTTGCACCTGTATCCGTCTTCATTCCACGCATTGCATCGAACCTGGTCGGGCTGGAGTAACTTGCCCCCTGCTCTGGTCGTAAAATCTGATTTAGCCTTGACGTTGGAGCAATCCAAAAGCCGGAGACCGTCCTACATGTGGCAGGACCAGACACAGACGCCTGTGCGTGCACTAACTAGCCTGGCTTATCTGTCCCCTAATCACCTAGCGTAACCTTATGTCCGACCCGAAGCGTTGATGACGGACACCGCATCTGGACTAACGGGCGAGGCACGCCCCATCCCTCATCCGTCACACGTAATGGACGCGGCACCAGATGGATTGCTGCGGGGCGACGCACTGCGCTTGCGCCCCCCCCCCCCCCCCTTGATGGGGCTGACCGCTGATCAAGTGACTGTGACGTGGCAAATGCGGCGCAGACGGACGCGACGGTCGGTTTGAGCTGACAGACGAAGTTGCTCGGTCCCATGGTATGGAATGTTGTCTTACTTCCGTGTTTCCCGTGGGATCCACATTGATGGTCATTCAAGGAATGTTAAGGTGGCTTGTGCAGCTTGTTTTTTGTTATTGCTTTTCCCGAAATTTGTTTCGAGGAACAGTCTTGTCAAGCTGGGTAGCTGAATGCTTAAAAATACAATATTGAATTGGATGCATTAGCTCATCAAAGCAAGCCTAAATTGACAAGGCATAGCGCAGCATTTCTAAAATGCCTTACACACGAACAGCTCATCAGTGAACTATACGATAGCTGGTTAAATCTGACTGCTATCAAAAGTCACGTCAGGTGGCATCGTACCGTCAAGCTCAGTTTACTTTTGCTTAAAAGTGTCAATATAAGCTAAAATCTGTAATAAACTTAACGTGTTTTTCAGATTGTCTTTAAAAAATCTAGGCCACCTTTGCTTCAACAATATATTCTATGGTGAAAAAGACCATATCAAACTTGATCTGTCTCCACCTTCACCGCTCCCCATGTTTTACCTTGTTATGCACCAAACTGATCTTATCATCTGACGCAGCAAAAATATTGTTGTTTATCAGTTTCGGAGAGGTGTAGCCATTATTACAGGTGCTACGATGTTCCGAAGTCGATGAATTGCTACGGGCACTGCGAGGCTACGGCGTTAGATGATTTTGAGAATTCATGAAAAATTGTGCGACTTGTGACGTCATCAGACACGGCAGGTATGCATCCTTCATGTTGCATAAAAAACAATGATCGGGACACTGCGATTCAACGTTGCAATTCTAAGACCAAGGTGGTGCGGAAAAAGTAAGCCCTTGGACGGTAAAAGCTGACGTAATACGCAATGTAGCACACCCAGTGCTATGCTGACCTTATAGAGACCTATCTGGATGATTACCGATAGTTTTCAATATACCTTGATTTCAAGAATTGCCATACGTGGGATTCGCCTTTAAAGGGAGTACATTTCCATTCTTTCACCTTAAATGATTGTTGCATCAACCGCGTACGATTTCAAAATTAATGCCTTTTCTGGAAATATTTCTGAACAGTGTAGGAATAGGAATTTTGATGTGCAGTACATGACCCTGCGGGAGGAATCTCATCTTGCCTCATGCTCATCACTATCAAAGTAATAAACCAATTTGTCTTGCTTTTTATTGCGTGTATGTTCTTTTAACGCATGCAGCACACCAATGTGTCAAAACGTCCTTGTAAGAAACGCTACGAAATATTGAAATACTATGCTAAAACAAGAAATATATGCAACCATGAAGCCATTACCGCGAATTCAACGAAACGTTATATTATGGCTTTTATTTCTCTCCTGGGGCGTTTAACACTGACTTTTTTCGAGGCGTGCTTTGGCTTTTGGAATTGGAGTATCGCATGATCCGTGACGCACTGGTTCAAAGTTGAACCCACCAACTTCCCGAAAACAGGCCTTCGCCCGCTTGACCAATCACAAAATCTTTTATTCGCACCAATAGAGGTGCGCACGGTGGTTGTCATGACAACGGCGGTCGCGACTGCAAGGAAGAAGCATAGTGTTGTTTAAAGTGTTGGCAGCGCAATTTGGACTAACAAATAGTTAAAGGTGGCATCCCTTTTATGACCTAACGGTGCTGCAGTGGCACTACCCAATGCTGTTATCAGACGGAACTAGCCCTGAGGTTTCATCGGAGTATGTTTTTTAAATATGCCCCCAAGGTGGGACGCTCTCTTCAACATTGTTGTCGATAAAGATACCATGAAAGTAAAGTTACAATTAGGCATAAATAATGTTCAAACTAATCTTTCCACAATTAGTTGCCCTATTAACTAAGAGGTATTGCATTCATACATGATCTTATTGGTTTTTGATGTGGCATTGTTCTGATTGACATGAAGCCCGAGCTCGAGCTTATTTGTCGAGCTCTCGCCCTGACTCACCCTCAACTAGTGATAAAAGGTTACGTTGTCAAGTCAATAAGCGACCCAATTGTGTCAGCTTTAAGCTAAATTTTTCCCGAAAATCAAAATTTTTAGCTGTACCAGCCCCCATATACCAAATTATGTAATGTCAACCCTTGTTAACACGAGGCACACCCAGGTAAGACTTGCTATTTTACATTTTTCAATACGTATATATATATATATATATATATATATATATATATATTCATATGTGTGTGTGTTTTGAAATATACATGTATGTGAAATGTAAATATAAATATATATACCTTGAAATATATAAAATACTAGTTATTGCCAGGGTGCGTCTCGTATGAACATGGTTTGGCGTGACATAACATGATTTTGTATATGGGGGCTGGTACAGCTGAAAATGTTAATTTCCGGAAAAAATCTAACTTAAAGCCGATACAATGGGGCCGCTTATTAACTTGGCAATATGACATATATCACTACTTGGTGGTGAATCAGGGTGAGAGCTCGACAAATAATTGTAGGTTGCATGTCAATCAGAACAATGTCACGTCAAAAGCCAATTGGATCATGTATCAATGCAATACATGTCATGCAATACATGTTTTCCCGAAAATCAAAAGTTTCAACTGTACCAGCCCCATATACAAATATATATATATATATATATATATATATATATATATATATATATATATATATATATATATACACGAATGTGCTTTTAAAAGTGCGGTTTCTTTGGCACCAGCACCGGCACGAAAATCGGAGGATCTTTTCCTAGGCGCCTGGGAACAGCGCACTAGCAAGCGAGTCTCTTATGCCCTCCACATGCTGCGAGGCTCCGGCGCTCAACGACGGATCACAATGCTTCGCACTTCGTGCACCTCGCCCTTTGCAAGAAATAGGCTAACGCCATAAAAAAATAAAATTGTGAGCGTAGCATTCTAACCCACCTGCCAAGCACGTACACAACGCTTCACGCTTCACGCTATCCCAGTGTTTATCCGGGCCGTGCATACACCCAGCTGAGCTGGGCAGCGCCGTTCCCCTGCAGAGGTGCGCCGCCGTTCCCCTGCAGAGGTGCGCCGTTCAGCACCTGTCAGCTCGGCAGGTGCTGGGAGACCCCCCCCCTGCCACTGGCCACCGCTGGCCTGGCTGGCATCAGGGCTGTTGACCTCCGATCAGCTGACGCCAGAGCCGAGAACCGGAAACAGACCTGGCACTGCACGCCACGCAGGCGCCCGAAACTCGCCGGCTCACTCGTGGGCTTTAAGCTGACAATCCGTGTCGACCGCTCATTTGACTACGTCATACGGTGCCGGAATACGCAGATTGCTGTATCAGGTCGATAAGCGTCTTTATCGTCTGCTTTTTGATCGCGATTACATGCCATCCCCGTTTTCTCTGTAAGCCACCTTTAATACCATAGCGTAACCGTAAATGTCTGGCAGGCAAAAATTCCACTTGTCTAGGTATGATTATGCTTCTGACAAGATATTGCACTTTACAAAAGAGGGCTTACTTCATTGCAGGACATTTCCCAATTACAAAAACGCGTAATGTCGTCTTGCATTGTAAGCACGAATGCCACGGGTCAACGGAAACGCCTTTCACTCAAACCACTACGTCATCCCGCTTTAGCCACGATCATTTGACCCTAACAAACCAGGAAGAATCACTGCCACGCCTCCCTCCTCCCCACACCTTACCATCATCGCTCCCCTCCCTTTTCCGACCCCCAGCCGTCGGCCTACCTTGTGTCCAGCAGCGCTGTTGCGCTGTTCGGTCGCTGCAGTCTCCGGTGTTAGCGGGCGGCCGGTGCGGCGTCGGCGTCGCTGGCGGGTAGCGGGCGTTGCGGAGCACTGTCCGCCGGCGAATGCGGCCGGCGCGCGGTCGGCGGCCGCGGCCCGGTGGCGGTCTTTGAACCCTGGCCGGCGCGCTGACCGAATTTCTCTAAGCGGAGGCGCCCGGTTCTGAGGGGGCGCTCGCGAGGGAGCAGGGGTAGGCAGGAGACGCCCACGTGCAAGGATGAGTCGGGTCAAGCACGGACGTCTGATCTTTTTTGCTGTAAGCTGTTGGGATAGATCCTGACTTGGCGATGCATTCCATAGCTGGCCGGTACTGGAAGCATAATGGGTCTTTTTCTTCCAGAGACTTCACATTTCACACTCTTTCTCCGCACTTTTACACCCCACATCTATTGTTTCCTGAGCTCTCTTGACTTCCATGCCGTTACATGCAGGGTGTTTTCTACCACTTTCCTGGCCATCCAGGCATTCAGCAGCCTTTGGGACATGAATTTTTTGGCACTTGTTTACGCATAGCTGAACGATGGAACATCGATCAGTTTTGAATAATGGGCGGAAAATTAGCTAGTGCTGCACCCAAGAGATTTGTGGCCCGATTGTAGAGGGAAAATATGAGCCGAAAAAACAATATCCTAGCTTACACAATTGGAAACACCAAATTAATGGTTTTGCTTGGCACTGATGGTGCAAATGTGTTTTGGAGCGATCAAAGATGTAGCAAAGACGCAGGGGGGGGGGGGGGGGCAAAGGAGTGGTCGTCCCCGCACCCTTGAGGAGTTGGAAGTCAGCTACGCCGTCCAAAGAATGGCACAGCGCACCTCCAGACTCTCAAAGCACGCCCGGCTGCATGTTTTATGAATATCTTTTTGATAAACCGGAGCGCAGCATTAGCTGTGTTTACGAAGGATTGCTGTGCAAATGTTCTAAAAACTTTTTTAAAGCTTGTCAGCATTTATTTTGTAACCATACATCTTTAATCAGCGATTCCCGGCTTGAAATGTTTCGCAAATGTTTTAACATGTTTGTAGAGACGCATGATTTGAAAAATTGTGACTAGCTGACTTCAAGCAAAGTAGCGCTTCTGTGAAGAGATCTGGTGTCAGATTTGTTTTCCCACCAAAGCTTTCCGAAACTCAATAAAAACATTCGTTGACATCTCTGCTGCAGAGGCGGCAAAACAGCCTCCTGTAGCGTTCCTGTTCATAGGTATGCAGGCCTTAAAGAGCTTACAGCGCTTTTATGTCTTTTACATTTTACTTTAACATGGTCCAATATGAATGATCCATAAATGAAACGATCCTCAAAGCTCGCCTTGCTCCACACAGCGCCGACGTCAAAAGTAATGGTGCATTCAGCATCAAACGCCCCCGACCCATTCACGCTGCTGATTGCCAGGCCTAGCATGTTCCCAAATTTAAGATAAACAAAGACATGGGCCGAATGAATGTCTTTTGAGGGTCTCGTTTAATATGGCAAAGGTATTCTTGGTTGGATAAGCGTGTTTTATCTATCGCATGTCAATGAAGTTGCATGGAAAATATTTTCCTCGTCAGAATGTTTAGTACACAGTAAAACTTCATAGAAACATCTTCAAAACCTTAAACATGTAGTGCAATAATTAATCGTGAGAACGGCTTATATCATTTAGATTTCCACGGTGCTTCTAGAAGCGTCTCGTGTCCCAGTATCGGCGAGAAAACTCTGGCTGGTCTGAAATTGGCCCTTGCATAAAAAGGGTGTGCTAGTTTTGATGAGAAAATGGAATTTTGGGACTCCAAGAGGTACCATTGGGCGCTCTAAATGTAAATTCGTGCTGCCGTTGGGAGTTGTGGGGCTGCGTACCCCTCATCCTGATGCTTTCCCAGCATAGCGAAATAAATTCCTACCTTGTGCATGTTTCTTATGTTGGTAGAGACGAAGTACTTTGACTATTATATGCAGTTTGACCTGATACAATTGTTCCTGGTATGTTCGTGTTCAACCTGCATACTCTTAGCAATGTGGCCGTGGGCTAACCAGAGACCATGTATACAAAATTGACTTTTCAGTGGCATCCCGATAAAAATTGGAAAATTGAAGGGAGTTTCCTTTCCACATAACGAAGATATCTCTTATCCATGGTCATGTCTGGAAGTGATTGCTGATTGGTGTAAAATACGTCATGTTCGGATAGCTAAGCATGGGAAAGAAAATTGCTAAAAATAAAAGTTGGATAAGTTGTTATAGAAACAACCTTGCTTTGATATTTCGAGCGCATCATCGTCGCTTGGCTACTGAAAGTAGCGTTTCGTACCATTGGCATTATATGAAAAATTTGTGAGAGTTTAGCCTGCCGAATAGCGCAATGTATGTCGTATACTATTCTGTAAAATACAGTATGAACACCCATGTTGAAATCACGGTTTTAATAGCTGGTTGCCAGGGGTTTAGCGGCCCCGGAACTAACAAATAGTTCTCACCGTGACGTCACATGCTGTCGCCACAAGACAAACAAAACATCTGAGCGCATCCTCGTCTGACCTGACCGACCCTGGCGACAGCCTTTGACATCGACTGCACCGCCCTGGCGTACAGTCTCTGGCAGCGCTCTGACCCCGGGCGCTCGGCGCGGCGCTCCTCGCCGGCCAGCGCGGCGGCAGCTCCGTGTTTGCCCGCCGTTGGACCAAATGTGGGTCACGCGGGGCGGTCGGCCGGAATGCAGACGGCCGACGACATCGGCGGGACGTCAGCGGAGGCAGCACTTGGGGACGGGGGTCACTGCACGCGGAGGACCGGGTCGCACGGGGCATGCGGACACGCACCACGGCATGAAGCGATCAACAGTGGAGATGGGCAGACGGAATGGCATGCGGATATAGATGCGAGAAGATGTCCGTTCATGGAACAGTTTGGCTTGATGTTGGGCTGCATCCGGCGGAATGGGAGGCCAACAGAGCTAAAAAATCCGGGATGTTGCTGCATGGGATGTATACAAATGCATTACATATGTCAGTAGCAAAATGACACTGGCATCGTCAAGAATAGAGAGTTAGATAAATAACAAATGCGAAAATGATGTTCAAAATGAATAACGTTACATATCACAAATTGCCCGCATTGCGCTTGACTGCCAAAACAGAAAGTTGACTCGTGCATTTGCGATGTACATACAAATGTACAATTTACATCACGAATATGTGAGCTACAGCAATAAAATGCACAAATACAAGATATAAAACAAAAGTACAACGACAAGGGTAAAATCATGAAAGTAAGCCATACTCCACCTGTTCAAACGCACACATATCCTGTCAGGATGTGCGATCTGTTTTGGGTGTACAAATTTATAATTTATGGCCATAACACGGACAAGTTATAGTCAAGATCTGCTGTTTTAGGAGCATCAAGTACACTAGGCTAAGCATCTCGCGAGCGTTAGTTTGTGGCTCAGTTCGCTTTCTCTTCTTTTCCACTGAGCACTCGTTGGCTGCACTAAGTCTCCCGCGTCTTTCATTTTAACCAGCTGCGTCCTCCTCCACTATGCTTCCTGTTTTCTATGCTAGCTCTGATGACCGCACCTGCAATTAACTTTTCTTTTATTGCAAGCCCCATTTCTGTGCGAATTCTCGGAGACCTGAACGCGCACCGCGATCTCAGGAAGCAAGAGTGGATTTCATACCATTGGGCGGTAATGACCTGCCGTCCCTGCTGGTTAGTTGTTCGGAAACAGCATCAAGCCGAAACAAAAAACAAAATAATTTAGAGTCTATGCCAGGAAAAAACATGGGTGCGCGCTTGCAGCACGCGCAACTCACACATACCGAGATGTTTAGTCCAGGCGGTCCATGTCAGTTTGAACACTAATTGCCCATTACTGTGCTTCTTGTTTATGTGCTCTAAACCGTCAGACGGTGTCAGAATGCTACGAAACTCGAAAGTTTTAAAGCTTTATTCCTATATAAGTTGTTAAGATTTGAGCTCTCTTAAATATCCAGAGACAGCTCCAAAGACGATTTTTGGGTCTTTGCCAGAAAAAATCAGGTGATGTTCATGGCGAGAGTGTCACCCACAGTTTCTGTGTTGTTTTTTTTTTTTTTGCTTTTACCTACCAATATTTGCGGTCAGGGGACTAAACCGCGGAATATTTTATCAAACTGATCACACCGCCCGTAATCCATATGAATTGCCAGTGACTGATCCGAGAGCAAGATGTGTGGACCTTGAAAGCCTACTTGACCAAGAGAACTGTTTCAAATCTCTCATAGAAACGATAAAGCCACATGCAATCAAGCGCATCCGTTAGCAATATGCTCAGGATGTGGGTGGGAGGTGAATATGATATCATATTCTATAGTTACGTGGTACAGCGTAAATGCTGAAGTACTTTATGGGCTTGACAAACCATTGAATACCCGTGTTGAGCGAATCACGGGTTCGGCTGGGCTCAAATTTTGAGAAAATTACGGATATGGGTCCGGGTATAGATAAGACGTTTACGAATTGTCAGGTGGGCGCTGCAAGCCATAGTATACGAGGCTGCTTGCGCTTCTTTTGATAATAACTGAGTCTTTGATTTTGGTTTTGAAATTTTCAATTCAAAATCCTAACTTTTAGTGTAGATTTTCACGAAATTCTTGATATTTTAACACACGCTCGGGTGGGGCGTCCACCTGAACCCCAAAGGTTTTTTCTGAAATCGTTTACGAAAAGCGCGGCGTAGCCGCAACAAATTTGGTATAGCTGTAGACAATTGAATAGCAGATCGTTCAGCGTCAAAAATTTAGACGTACCTTGTAAGTTCAGTGACCTATGGAAGGTCAAAGTCAGGTCATGGTTTCAGCGAAGGCAGTTTCTAGGGAATCGTTCAATCTGATGGAACAACGGAGTGTTAGGCGAAGCCATGCGTATCTGAGATATTTTCTTAGGAAACGCAACAATTGATGAGCAAATTGCATTGACCTAGAGTCAGATTTGAAGGTCAGACGAAAGCAAAAACTAACCTAATATAGTTTATGGTGCTCATTTTGGATTTATTGGCAACAGTAACCGCATTATACAGCTTTCATGAACTTCTTATAGGTCAGAATAAG